GGGGAAGACCCAAGACATGATAGAGAGACTATGTCTCTCAGTTGGCCTGGGAACACCTTGTGGTCCTACCAGAAGAGCTGGAGGAGGTGGCTGTGGAAAGCGATGTCTGGGCTCAAGCTGCTGCCCATGCGACCTGACTTTGGAACAAGTGGAAGATGATGCATGGATGGATGGATGGATGGATATGAAACCATGTTTTGTTTTTCTTTATAAGCAGAATGATTTTTCAAGCAATATGAAAGACAGCACTGTGATGATGCTTGTTTGTGATATCATTAAACATGGATTAATTTTTCTGTAAATAAAACTAGATCAGATTTTTCTGTATTTTTTTAAATGTTAAAAATACAGATTAAAAAAAAGGTTAAACCAGTATCAACATACAGCTGACCATCTTTTCTTTTCTTTTTTTATTTTTCCAAGATTTGGAAATATTATTGTAAACAAAGTATATGAGCTATTTTAAAATACTGGCTGTGTCATCAGACTTAATTTATATATACATACACACACACATATCTATACTATAGTGTGTCTGTCAAGTTAGGGCACCTTTATGAAAAAAAACAATCTGAACTAAAATGATTTCCATTTAGGGAGTTTAAAAAAAGAGAACTAAACAGTGACGCAATAAAGTCAATTATTACAGGTTGAAAATCATGATCCAATGAAATAAAATAAAAATCAAGGACAAAAAAGCTGCCATCATTCAACACAAAATTATAGGCAGTTAAACAGAAATAAAAGTGAACCTAGAGTTAAACTAGAAGCAAGCATATTATCTCACTTTATCTCCTGTATAGAGCCCTCCTGTAGGATTTACAGGACTTATTTTCTTGCATTCTATTCATCTATGCCAGAGATGTTGCATAAAAACATAATGATGCATTCAGCACATATTACAAATCAAACAAACACAAACAGGTTTGGTATTCAAAGCTGCACCAGCCAAACAAAATTTTAGGTGCATCTTTCACAGCTGTTTTTTTTATTGTTTCCAGCCGGTGGAAAGAATACAATAAAGCATTGTGTTGCAATTTATCATCATTAATGTCTGGTTATTTTCATACGGGACTAATATCTTCACAACATGTTAGTGTCAATAAATCAGGTTCAGAAAAGCCATTCTTGAAACTGAAACTCAAAAATGTAGGACTTTCATTTGGCAGTCTTTAATATACAGTAAATTGTTAATTTCATATTTTACATGTATTTTATACCATACCATACCATACCATTTTATTTATAGAGCACCTTAAACAGCGACAAGGCCAACCAAAGTGCTGTACAGACAGAACAACAGACAACACACAAAGCAATATACCAAATGAAGTAAATCAGAATATAGACATAAAAACGATGCAGATAATAAATATGACAACAAACCAGTGTGGAGCGTACAGGTTCAAAACACAGATCCTCTGATGTTGAAAGCTACTGAATAGTAGTGAGTTTTTAAACGGAATTTGAAAACCGAGAGGGAGGGGGCCAATCTGACAAGCAGAGGCAACTTGTTCCAAAGTCTTGGTCCTGCTACAGAGAAGGCCCTGTCACCTCTGTGCTTAAGACGAGTTCCTGGAACTGTGAGGAGCAACTGGTCCGCTGACCTCAGGGAACGTGGTGGGACATACGGTTGTAGCAAATCAGAGAGATGGGGGTGGGGGGGGGGCACGAAACTGTTCAGCGATTTGTAGACATGCAGGAGTATTTTGAACTGGATTCGAAGGTGAACCGGTAACCAGTGCAGTGAGGCCAAAACTGGTGTAATGTGCTCTCTTTTGCCTGTACTGGTTAAAAATCGGGCTGCTGCATTCTGGACCAGTTGTAGTTGTGCAGTGGAGGTCTGACTGATACCAAACAGGAGCGAATTGCAGTAATCAAGCCTAGATGTAATGAATGCATGTATTATGTGTTTAAATTCATACTAATGTACACGTGCAAAACCAAGTACAGTGATGCAACAGGAATATTTATGACCTCCAAGCTCCTTCAAAAATGCATCATTCAGGGATGTTAGACCAAAATAACTGAACAATTTTTTTATAGAAAACATATAACGAGGCAGATGAAAATCTTTGCTCTCAGTTCAAGGTTTCTCTCTCCCTCTTTGTCTCTTCATCTTTCTTTTTCTTTCTCCTCAATCCTCTAGCCTGAATAGTTTCTCATTAATTAATTAACATTCCTATGCCACTGTGTTTTCTGAGGGGCCTTTGTTACGGCCCCACAAAAACTCTTTCAGAGCCGTTCTTCACAATGTCCCTCTCTCTTGCTCTCTGCCTCTCGTGCGCTCTCTTCATGCTCTCCTTTCTTTCTTTTTTTTTTTTTTGGTAGTGGAATGTCTGTTGTTACTCTCTCTGTTATTGCTGATTATAAAGTGTTGTATAAATAGTTTTATGAGATTTGTTTCAGAAGCTTAAATACGTATCACGTTGACTCTGTTCAAAGGCACACCTTCCATGATCGTGCATTTTGACAAGCAGCAAACACACTTTCCCATAAGCACTCGTACATATGAAGTATATACAAAAACACAAAAATATGCACATGCTCCTTGTACACCTGTAAACTTCTCCACTCCCTGGGCTCTCCTCTCCCCTTCTTGTGTGTGAACTCTGTCATCTTTTTAAATGTTCGTTGATTGTCTGGCCCCGGGGCCCCCCTAAAACACACATGGCGTACTGTAAAAAGCTGCATGTCTGGTCTCCTGCCTGTCTGCTCTTCTCACCAATCGACCTTGTGTTTGTTCCTGATTTTGTCCTTTTTTCAGATCAAATACGCAGAGCATGGTGTGCCTTTTCTGTTGAGAAGGATTTGATCAAATTGATCAGTAACCTGTTCTCACACAGTTGATTGCTATTTTAATGTTCCATGATAATATATAGTCACATAAAAACAATCTTTATGTAGAATAAATGTTTTATGTTACATTTTCCTCTGAAACGTTAAAAAACTATATTTGTTAATGCATACTTGAATTATTTAACTAAATTTCACATCAGAGTGTTTCAGTTTGAATGTCCATCGGTTGCATTGTACCACCTTGTTTGGGGATTACCATGGCATGTACCTACACACACAAAAAATATAGAAACAAAGGATTTTCTTGGTTGGTTAATTTGTTGGCCAATCAGTTGGGAGGCTGGTCAGTTATTGGATTGTTTAAAAGGGTTAGTTGGTTGGTTGAACAGTCTGTTGGCTGGTTAATTAGTTGGTTCATCGGTTGGTTGGATGAACAGTTGGTTGGTTAGATGAACAGTCAGTTTTGTTGGTTGGTTGGTTGGCTGTCTGGCTGACTGGTTGGTTGGTTGGTTGGTTGGTTGGTTGGTTTGATGAACAGTTGGTTGGTTAGACGAACAGTCAGTTGGATGATTGGTTGGTTGGCTGGTCAGTCAGTCGGCTGGCTGGTCAGTTGGTCGGCTGATTGGCTGTTTGGTTGGTTGGCTGGATGACCAGTCAGTTGGTTGGTCAGTCAGTTCGTAGGTTGAGTGATGAATTATTTCTCATAGATTTGTACAGCAGAATCTGCAGGCTAGAAAAAGATTTTAGCGTTT